ACTGTTAAAAATAAAAACGGTTATGGTTCAAACCACAAAAACGATGAACGAAAAAGCAGTTGAAGCTTCTTACTTAGTCAGCTATTTGATAGCTCAGCGTGGTAAAGCATACTCAATTGCGGAAAATCTTATTAAACTTTATTATTAAAAATAAACGAACTTAATTTAACCCACCACGGCAAACAAGTAAATTTACTTATTGCCCACGAAAAAATTCTTGTTTATAAGAAAAAAATTGAATTTTGGACAATATAAATGAGCTACAACGAGTTCGATTGTTTCCCAACAATTAAGGTTTTTGAACAAGAAGGGATTGAAATGGCAGAGGCATTTATTGAAGAAATTATTCAACATCTGAAGGGATTGAGTGAAGCTTTTGATAACTATTTTCCAAAAGAACAGCAGATTCAATATCAAACTGAATTGTGGATAAAAAACCCGTTTATTTTTAATGCACGACCTTCCACCATGCCAACGGGAGAATACGAAACTTTCATTGAAATGACATATGATTCATAATTGCGGAATTCTGGTGCAGTATAAAAGATGAATATCCTCAATTGTCGCACAAGGCAGTGTTGCATATGTGCGAAACGGGGTTATCAGCTTATTTGTCCACAAAAACTAAATACCGGAACAGACTTAATGCCGAACCTGACATGAGAATTCCACTTTCATCAATTCTTTTAAGAAATCTTTTGGTAATTAATTACTTAGAAGAAAATAAATATTTTTTTAATTAACTGTCATTTTTGCTGCATATAATTGATCTACAGATGAGGTTGATCAACTGCTTAATATTCCCAATACTGACCTACGGATGTGAATCCTGGACCCTGAGACAATCAAAAGAAGAAATATAGACGCCACTGAAATGTTCTGTGGGAAACGAATATTACGAATTCCTTGGATTGGACCGACCGTAGAACAAATAATTCAATTTTAAGAGAGCTAAAAGTTAGCCAACGGCTTTCCAGTAAAGTACATCTCAAACAATTAAAGTACTTTGGACATGTTTGAGAGCAAACACAGAAAACATGGAAAGACTCATTATACAAGGAAAGGTGGAAGGCCCAAATAGCGAGAAAGAACCCCAACAAGATGGATCGATCAAATTACAAGGATATGCAAAAGACACTACGCATGAGTTAAAAGAAATGACCAGAGACAGAGATCTTTGGAGACTGACAATACACGACATCACGTCAACCACTACACTCATATATTATTAAACATACAGTGATGTACACACATCAAAATAATGCTAGGATGCAACTGGGGACAAATGAAATGTAACATTTCTGGGCATTCTTTACTTGAGTGATATTGTACCTATCCCACGAAGAAGAATATTTTGGTAAACGATGAAAGATACGCAAAATAATTTAGCTGCAAACTCTATGCGTCAAAATCGTTTTGAAGAAATTTTCAGGTACATTCATGTAGCGGGCAATAAAAATCTACCTAAAAACGACAAAGTGGGGAAACTAAAGAACTTTGATGTATATGATTAATGACAATTTTATTAGATATGCTTTAGCTACAACTAGCGTATATGGCGTGAATTTGGATATTTATCAAGGAAAAAATAAAGAACGATAGAAACGACAATATCAAATATGGCGTAGGAGAGTCTATGACACTAACATAAAAAATTTTATAACACAGTACATTCAAGAATCTCTACGAACGATACTGGATCTGAGACTCAGGTGTATAGAAAACCAACACACACCAACAGATCTCTAAATTACAAATCTATTCACAACATCAATATTAAAAAGGGAATCATTAAATCCTTATAGGATAGAGCCAAAATTGCTTGTTCTAACGAAGATTCGTTCTTAGAGGAGAACCATTTGTTAACATGTTTTATCAAAAAATGATTATCCATATATCGTGTATAAATAAGGAATTTTCAACAATCGATATCATGCACAAGGAATAATGAAATAACGAGAAAAATAACAATACCATACATAAAATGATTATCAGAAAAACTTAAAAGATGGGAAATAAATTCAACATTTCAACTACATTCAAAAAAACAAACACATTGAGATCTATTTTATCTAAAACTAAGTAACACTAACAATGAACAAGAGAGAACAAAGAATTATGAAACCTCGTAAATGGGATCATTTTTATTTAGGAGATCATTTTTATTTAGGATATTTAGGTCATCAAGACCATTTAATGTTAGAATAAGTGAACATCACTCTTATATTAAAAATAGTGAATTTGATTGATCTCAAATATCTAAACACGCATGGGAAAATGAACATAGGATTCAATTGAAGATTTAAGTATAGTCCTAAAAGAAACAGATAATAAGAAGAGACAAAATCAAAGAAACGGCTCAGCAAAGAGAAAGTCAATAAATGGAAAATACCACTATTAGTAAGTCAGTAACATATCGAGGATACATCATTTATATTTTTAAATAACATATAAAATTAGAATTTGGTGTTTATTGAGAATACACTAAATGTGAGACCAAATACTTACCACATCGGGATAGTATTATGAGATTTTTTTCCTGGTTTTCTCCTCATGATTTACTATGGAATCACTAACACGGAAATTTTACTTTCGTCATTGCATGTGGTTGTCTTTTTAAAGACGAATTACATGCTATGATTTTTCTGACGGATATTCTTAAGTTAAAGTTGATTTCATGTAATAAAATGAATATTACAATAAAATCGTCCCAGGAACGCAATATTAGCAATATCATTTTAAAGTCGTCTAATTTAAAATGTATAATATGTGTCTGAATTGTCAATATAAATAAGTCAGACACAATTAAATTATTAGAAGAACTTTTACCAAGTAAAAAAAATGATTAATTTATTAATGTTTTGTATTTTGAGAAAGATTACCGAAGTGGAAATTGAAACGTTAATAAAATTATTTTAAACTTAAATTGTGACTATTTCCCAATAAAAATAGTAATTGCATTAAGATGCCACAAGAAAATAGCTTCAGAACAATATTGTACTGACATTTACCAAATTTTTGTCAGAAAATTTTAAAGATCTATGATATTCTTTAGCTTTTAAAAACTATTTCAACAGCGTAATGTTGATGGAAAAGTTACAACAGATAAATTTTGGAGCAACAGGTACTGTTAGACGGGAAAGAATGGAAAACTATTCACTTTCGCGAATTTAGCGAAAAGTGAAATGAAAAAAAGAGAAAAAGGAGCATATGAGAGCCTCGTAACACAGAATCAAAAATAATAGCCCTATAGTGGAACAGTAGTAATATTGTGAATTTGCTGTCAAATGAATTTGGAATAGCACTAATTCAAAAAGCAGGAACTTAACCTGTAACTTAACGTTATTAAACGTTATTAAAAAATACAATACATTCATGGGAGGTGTCGATTTCAGACATAGAGGAAAGAAATGGTATGTATCTATTTTGTTGTGCATGTTTAATCTTTGTATGTTTGTGGGTCCTTGTTCGACAGTAAGGTTATAAACACGATAAATTTTATTTTTGAAGAATAGTGGTACTGTCATTGTTACAAAAATATGATCAGCTACCACGTTTTCCTAGACCATCACGTTCCTCTATTATACCAGAAAGTCTAAAATCCAATAGACAGCACTGTATAAATACAATGTATAAATACAAATATATAAGACAGTTAAAGCTTGTCAATGCTGCAATATCCCTCTGGATGACAAATATTTCGAGAAATATCACAAAAATAATGTATTTGTTTTTTTTTTGTTTATTTTCAAATTCATTTTTCTTTGTTTAGGTACTTATATTTTTTCGAAATACTTTGTTATTAAAATAATTACTAAAAAATTATACCTTATCCTTCCTTGGTATTTAAAAATTCATTCTGCTATAAAAATAAGCAAAAACATATTTTTATTTTACATGCGGCATTTGTCCAAGGGGTCGATAAAAAACCCATGTACATATACAAATGGCTAATATTAATGACGTAATATTCTTTTATATATTTTTTACATAATTTAAATCATTCAAACCAAACATATATGAAAATAAACTAGACATGAAAGAAAAAATAGTTCTGGGCATAAATGGGTTAAAGAAGAAAGAATTCCAGAATGTAACATTACAGCAACGTTATTAAAACTAGAACAAAAAAAATACAAAAGAAATGTACAATGTGGAAAGTTGTAAGTATCTTTATCTAATCGAAATTTCACTTTATTATTAACAAATTTATAGGTTCGAGTTAGAATCTTAACTAAGCTAGATTCTAACTCCATGCAATTTTAATTTTACCTAAGTATATAATTCAAAACAAACCCGTAATATAGGCAACACATTCTACAGGTTCTAAAATAATGAGAATATAAATACCTACACATGAAACAGTTTAAATGACTTCTATTAAAAGTTTTCCACAGTATTTAATGAATCAAGTTATCAAATAACAAATATACTTACAGTTTTGTACAAATCTATCACACGAGCGCGCTGAGACATTACAAAATGATAAGAATGCAAATATTTTAAGATTTTTAAATATTTACATTATTTACAATACTTTTGAAAGTAATTGCCAAAAAAAAGGGTATCTTCAGCTCTCGAATTTTCACAATTTGTATTAACAGTTTAAAAACTTAAATAACTCTTAAAGAAATACGGTAAGAAAATATGTACAGAACAGTTCAAAGGTAAAACAAAACGTCAAAAGACGTCACACCAAAACAAAACAATTTTTTAACTCAATGTCTAAAACAGATGTTTGCTTATATGACGTCATTGAATTTAAAACCCCGAAAAGATTTGTATAAAAGACTGGTGTTTAATGTTACAAAATATATTATTTTTTATTATTTATATAATATATTAAACACAAAAAATTGTGTACTTAATAAAATAGTCTGTATATAACTAAAATAGTGAAATTCACATGAAAATTGGACTTAAATATTTTGACATTTGATCGACCCCCTTGATGAAGTGCAATGAAGTGATCACAATACATGTACACTACATGTACTATGGAAGTGATTTGGTTAATGACATTTAAACCATGCTGTTCTTGTTTTCTTTGGCTGATTTTTAAAAAGTTAAAAATGAGTAAATCGTGACTTAAACTATTTTAAAAATGGTTAAATGGTTAAAACTGAGCTGATGTATTTTTATGTAGACTGTTAAAACTACAAATATGGAAGGAAAACAACAAACAGATATGCATCTAAAAGCTATGCTGAGCAATCCTTCTAGGTTTACTCCAGCTGTTCCAGTTCCTGACTGGAATACACCATCTACTTCTACAAATCCTACAACAACCTCACAAGTAAGTATTGCATTCGAATTTTGATTTATTGATTGTAGAATAGAATGTATGTTGACATTTACACCAAAAATCATATTGCACCATAAAAATTTAATATTAACAGTCATACATTTGTGATTTTGTAAATAGAGATTGAAAACCAACGTCCCTTCTAGCAAGTGTAAAAATTTCACCTACATTTTAAATTCTGCACCAGACTCTTATCTACCAGTCATACCAGTCATGATGTTGTGTTCTACCTGGGCTGTTTCTTTCTTGTATCTTACCCATTAAAATTAATCTTATTATCTCATATTTATCACCTCTCATTATAGGTTGCTTAGAAATGATGCACTATTTTCTTCACTTCAATATATCTTCTCTCCAATTCATATTTGTTTTTGCAGGCACTGGGACTATAAGTCTGCTTTTTCTTGTTCTTATGGAGTGTAAGCATTTCTAAAGTCTGTATAAACTATTTTTCCCCATCATTTATAATTTTTTAAGTTGTTTATTAGTGAATATAAGATGATCATTATCCTATACATGATCGACCTCATCCAAAACCTCTTGTTCTATCACCACAGTAATTATTAACAAATAGTAATAGTACTTCTACATATAAATACATATAAATTTAAACAGCTAGTTGCAACATAGTGGGAATGAGTTCTAACTGAATAGTATGCCAATTAGAAATACACATATTGTAGCAAGAAGAAAATATTATGCTTATGTCTTAAATTACCAAGTGATAGTTCAACAGTTAAGTTAAGGTAATTAAAAAAGAAGAGGATAACAATGTAATCATGGCAATGAATTTGTATTTAATTTTACAGCTTAATTGGATTTTGTAGGGAACTATGTGTTTTTTAAGTCAGTGTTTATTTGTGTTAATTACACCTTCAGTACTTTCACAATTAAATAACAGTTTCGTTCACAAGTTTATTTACCATCATCTTACAACTGGCTGCCCAATATAGGACCTTCTCACCACAAAAATTAGTACCTTTTGTGCGGAAGAAAAGGAATTCTCAAACGTGTGAGGCTGTTGTTTTGTAAATTTAAGTACATAAAAGTAACTTACACTGACCACATTCAAGAGTATGTATACTCTTTGCAATTGAATACCCTTTTAAACTGTCTTGTGCTACTATTCCAAGGTTTTGATTTTATTGTGCTGTATAAATATTAGTTTGGACTATCCCATGATGTGGATATTCTCTAATGTGCAAGTAGAATCTCAGAAGTGCTTCTAAGTTCACAGATATTTCAGAACTTAGCTCAGAATCAGCAAACTATTTTAACAATAGTTGAAGTAGAACAAACTATTTTAACAATGAATCATCTATAACCATGCAAGAAGACAAAACCTGTTGTTCCATGTGCTCCTATAATGATGACCAATGAGCAATTTCAAAGTTTAATTGCTAGCATGACACAAGTTGTTATCCAAAATCAGGCCCAAAGCCCTACTAAAAGTGGAAACTTTTCAAATTGTTCATCCAGATTTTGCTGGCAATAAAAATGAAGATTTTGAAGCATTTATAAGTGCTGATTTTTAAAGACTGTGTTAACATTTCAGATGAAAATGTAATAATAGGTTTGCTGATGTTATTAGATCATTATGCTGCAACTTGGTGACAAGGTATTCAATAAAAAGTCCTTAGTTAGGATGATGTTTTAAAGGCCTTAAGACACTTGTGGTTTAAACATGCCGCCATATAAAATTTTTAAAGAACTTTTTTCTTGTGAGCAAGGTGAGAGAGAATCAACATATATTTTCTTTAATTCTTGTTGTGCTCCCATTGCTAGGTTGTAAAAACCACCTGAGCTACAAACACATCTCTGATCAAATTGATTTGGTATATGCATTACTCAATCATAGAATTAGACATAGACTTCAGAGAGATCAAATTCAATATTTTGCTTGATCTTATAGAAAAAGCAAGAAGTTTAAACATTGGTTGGACATAAACCCTCTGGGATTAATGACAGCAAATCTACCAGATCAAGACCAAAATGTCAGTTTTGCAATAATTTAATTAATTCAAGATAATTTTCATAAATTTGCTGCAACTTAACAAAGAAGTCATTCCAGCTTTTCTGATGTTTCAAATGATCTAGAGTTGCATGTTATGGATGCAGAGCACCTGGTTATATAAGGTCCCAAAGCCTACTTCTCCAAATTCAGCTACCACCAGTCACACATGCAAGTATAGATGTGCTTTACACAGATGTTTGTGCAGTATCCCTCATATCTAGACCTTTGATTGAAGTTAATATTATTGGAAGACATGGTTTAGTATATATCGATTCTGGAGCTAGAAATACAATAGCAGGAAATATTTTATTCAAACATTTTTGTTCAATAAATTTATCCTTCGAGGTGACTTAGTTAAATATGACTTGAGCAGACGGACATGTAGATTAGATTAGATTAAGAGAGGTGGCCTTTCGGCCTATTCCACTGCGACCTTTTTAGATCTATCGTGTCCCTCTAGTCCTAGACAACATTCTCTAGCCTGACCCTCTTTATAAAGTCTAGTAGCTTCGAGACTGTACCTTCCATGTAGCTGTTTGCCGGTGGATTTTCTTCTCCTAATGCAAAAAACCGCACATTTGCCAGACTGTCACACTGACATAAAATGTGCTCTGCCGTTTCTAATAATAATAATAATAATAATCTTTATTAATAGCACATGGCTAGAAAAATATACATATAAATACATCAATTTATACCCTTAAAATTAAATCACAATGCTTTGCTTAACATATATCTTACATAAATTTTTAAATTGAGCTAAGTTTCCAGAAGCCTTAATGTTTTTCGGTAATTCATTGTATTGCTTTAATCCCCTATAAAAAAGATTGTTCTGACCAAAATTAGTGTTGACCCTATTCAGATAAAAGTTATTTCTAGAACGTGTGTTGTGTTCATGTACATCTCGAACAAAGGTACAATTATTACACAAATGCACAGGTATCAGACCATTTAACATTTTATAAACAAAAATCATACTATTACATACAATTGTCTGTCTTACACTTAAAACATTTGCCATTGTTAGCATGTCAGTTCTACTAGTGTATACACTACATCCTAATATTATCCTTAAGGCTTTATTTTGTTTTTTCTGCAGTACGTTCATTTGAGAAGCATTCATTAAAAACAGCAATGTAGAGCAAAAATAGAGATGGGGAGCAATAATCGATTTATATATGGTCAACCTAGACCAGCAACTTAAATTTTTTGACATTCTTCCCAATGCATAGATTTTTTTTGCTATTTTGTTTGTAACAAACTTAAAATGTTCAACAAAACTTAAATTTTCATCTATAATACATCCCAAATACTTATACTGAACCACTCTCTCCAAAGCAATATTATTAATTTTTACATCTTTTATTATGTTATTTAATTTAAAATTTTTATTCTTTATAAGCATCATTTTTGTTTTAGTTACATTAAGACTTAAGGAATTATTATCGAGCCATTTTAATATATTACATATCTCTTCATTTATTATATCGATTATTTCATCTACCTTATCCCCTATTGCATATATCACAGTATCATCGGCAAACAACTGTACCTTACACTTTTTAACAACATCAACAATATCATTTATATACAGTATGAAAAGAGTAGGACCTAACACAGTTCCCTGTGGCACACCATACAGAGACTTCTGAGCCGATGAAATGGCACCATATTTTGTCACTTGTGTTCTATCAGTCAAATATTCTTGAAACCACTTTATAATTTTTTCACCAAAGCCATACCTTTCCATCTTTCTCAATAGCAGTTGTCTGTTTATGGTTTCAAATGCACGTTTAAAGTCTAAGAAAACCACACCAATCATTTTCCCGCACTCCAGCGCACCCTTCCAGTCAAACAAAACCGTCTGCATTGCACTCTCACAGGAATTTCCTCTCCTAAACCCTGCTTGGAATTTAGTTAACACATTATTGCTTTCCAAGTACTCCACTATTTGATCATTTACACATAATTCCAGCAGTTTTTCGTATGGTGGTACCATATTTATGGGTCGAAATTCCTCACACTTAACAGTTCCATGAACCTTCTCAATTGGTACAACCAGACTTCTCTTCCATTTACTTGGGAATACGCCACTTTCTAGACTACCATTTATAATATGCAAAATTTTGTCGCCTATTACTTCAAAGGAACTCTTTAAAATTTGAACTGTAATACCATCAACATTACTTTCTTTGTTTTTCATTTCTTTCATTTGTTTTTTTAAATCTTTCATTTCTAACATTTTGAATTTTTCCATTTTGCAGTCGACATTTATTGAACTACAAATTTCTTGGTGGGTTTTGTTTGAAATAATGCTATCTGCTATGTCTTTTACACTGTCTAGAAAAAATATATTAAATCTTTCACTTATCTCTTTACCAGTAACCCCCCACCATCAAATATTATTTCACTTTTAGCTTCATGGTTTTTTTTGCCGTTTACAAGCTCCTTTAATGTTTTCCACATTCGTTTTGGGTCGTTCTTACAATCATCTATTTTTTCCTGATAATAATTTTGTTTGGTAATTCTGATTAATGCTACGACTCTATTTCTTTGTTGTTTGAAATCATCCCAGTCAGTATCAGTTTTAGTAAATATAGCCTTTTTGTAACATTGATCTCTTTTTTTAATTTCATTCGCAATGTCTTCATTCCACCATAATTTATTTCCCCAAACATCCTTTGTATTAATAGACTTTTCTGGAGCAAACTGATCGAGTGCAGACAATACATTAGTTATTAGAATATCAGCATTGTTACTTACATCTATAGAGGAACTTGACGGCCACTGCATATCCATAAGTTTCATTTGAAATCCTGTCACATCCATTATATTGTACTTTCTATAGGTTTTTGTAAGTGTCGTCTCATTGTTTCTACCCAGATCAGCTACAATTATCGAGTGATCTGTAATCTTTGGAGTTGGGAGCACCTTGCAACTAATGTCTTTTTGATTTGTAAGTACTAGGTCAATCCTA